TGTATTGATTCTACTGTCTTTTTGAAAGGAAAACTTAATATTTCATTGTTCAATCGGTCTTGCATGCCTGTATCCGGTAAACTGAGCAACAAATTTGATGATATAAATGTGTAGCATGACAATAATTGTTAATTTGACATTCCTGTTTTGAAATATTGTACTATTTCTATTTTATATTGCTTTGCTTTTCTCATTGTCCTTGTCATTTTTCTCTTTACAATTAAAATAGCAACAAATATTGTTTCTGCTGATATAATGACCATCTATATAGAACACTTTAGGACATCCATAAAAGAAGAACTGTTAGAGCTAATCGATGAGTTTAGAACAAGCACTAGATGAAGATCAGTGGTTTTGCCTAAGTAGCCTAAGGTAGAAAGCTTCCCCAGAGTTCCTTTGGCTTTGGCTTGAGCATCCAGGTGGCCCTAGTCCCCCTGGAAGGACTGCCTTTTGAGATTTGGGCCCCTTGTGGTATGACCACTGCACTATGATTTTTCTTTCCAGTCTTTTTCTCAGTGACTTTTCTTTCATTTCTAGGACAAAATAGGCAACACTCAAAATTAAGGAAGGAAAGGACTATTTAGCTAGTGGAGGTTTCAGTCCACAATCAGCTGGCTTCAAGGCAGAGTGGCACATGGCAGAGGGCAGCAGTTCATGGCAGAAGAAAACAGCAAGAGGAACAAGCTGAAAAGGGAGGAGCCAGGCTCGCTTGCGCTGCATGCAGGCTCCAGCCCCAGGGCGGGTACAGTGCTCCCCCCTTCATCCCATCACTGGACAATGAGTCAGTCACCAACTGGAGGTTCAGCTGCCTCTGAAAAGCCCACCCCCGTGACCACATAAGGCTTTGGGGGCACATCCAGACACAAACCGTAATAGTCCATAAGAGGTGAGTTAATTTGTAAAGTTGTTGTTGTCATTGTTGTTGTTGTTTTGTCCTGGGAATTGAATTTAGGGTCTCACATTTGCCAGGCAAGCACTGAAGCACTGCACTAAATCCCTGACTCCTTAAAAGGTTAATTTGAGTCTGCTGAATTTTCTGAGTGCCAGGCCTGCCTTATTGATATTTCCTAGGGCCTTTGCTCATGCCAAAGCTCAGACGCAAAGGAAACTGTCAGTAAAGTGCCCAGACCATGATCCGGTGTATTAATGCACACCGGTATCACTGAATGGCTGGAGGGGGCAGGGGCTCAGCCAGAGGCAGAGGACAGCTCGGCGTCCATGAGGCCTTGGCTTCTGTCCTGAGCGTCAGAGAAGAGCAAGGAACAGGAACCACGGGCAAGCAAGTGTGGGGCTCTGTATTAGCCAGCCTTTCAACGCTGCAACAAAATGCCAGGCACAGGCTCCTTATGAAGCAAGGGAGACGAAGCTTCCAGCCCCGAGGCTCAAACTGCAGGCAGCATGGCTCCGATTCAAGGACAAGGGATGCAGGATAAGCACCCCCCCTCCTGGCAGACAGCAAGGAGCAATGGTGGAAGTGTGTCCAAGGAGAGTGGACGGGGCCAGGCTCCATCTTTTACACACAACAGTGTGCTCTGCAGAATACGGTACCAAGAGTCCTCAGAGCCTATGAGCAGAGGATCACCAGGCCCCACCTGTCAAGGGACCCCCGCCTCTCATAGCTCCTGCTGGGGACCAGGCTTTCAACATGTGAACTCTTGGGGGACACTGCTAAGCTGTGACCAAACCAATCCAAAGCACATGAGGACTACAATACTCTTTAATGTAAAAACAAAACAAAAACCCCTCTTGTTCATGTGTACGTTGTGCACAATTAAATTCTTGAGATCCAAAATGACTAAGACAACTTCTGGCAAGGTTTACAGTGATTTTACCTGCTGCGTGCATTTGAAGACAGTGCAGTGCTCAAGTATTTGAGAGAAAAGGAGAGGTGACCGAGACTTTCTGGGGAAAAATTACGTGAAATTTGTCTCATACCATTAAAATCTTGTAAGCCAAAGATGGGCTTATAAATTCTATAGTTATATGAAACTGCTCTTTAATTTTTGAAATGCAAACAGACCTGGCCATGAGCTTCTCAGGAGTTACTGAGCATCTGAGAGTTGGGTGCCCTGAGTGATACTGTGATACCCAGTTATGCTTTTTGGGGGGCTCCATTTAAATAGATTGGTTGCAAGCATTTCATTTGATCTTCTAAATAATCCTCATAAAATTCAATGGGTATTTATGTTTTTTCTCCTTCTCTAACAATAAAAAATAAAATATTTCGTTCATTTTAAAATGCAGCCAGTCTCCTTGTTCACAAATACTTTCAGAGACCCTGAGTGGAGGCCCAAACCACAGACCATAGCAAACCCTGCAGAAACTGCTTCTCCCTGTACGCAGCCATGACAAGGCTAAATTTTTCAATTAAGCACAGCAAGAAATTAACAACAGTAACTAAGAGCAGAAGATTAGCATAGCAATACAATATAGTGAAGTTAAATGAAGGTAGTCCTTCTTGAAAAACGCAAGACAAATATTAATATTTGTATCAGACCGCAGTTTACTGTAAGTGAAACTGGAAAAATAAACTCCAAATGATAGAAATATATTTCTTTAAATATCAAAGCATCTATTGCAACAATTTATATTTTAGTCGCGTCTTGTTTGTCTTGCTGTTGTTACTGTTACTGTTACTGTTACCGTAGTTGTGGCTACTTTATTTTGCTTTGAGGCAGGTCTTGCTAAGTTGCCCAGGCTGGCTTTGAACCGGTTACCCTTGTGCCTCAGCCTTCCGGTGAACTGGGACGGCAGGCGTGCACGGCCAGCTTTCTGGTGGGTGGCTCCCACACAGGCCTCCTTCCTTAGCCTTCGCCTGCACCGCGTTGCATTCTGACCTCGTTCACCACAAGAAGCAGTCATTCCCTTGATTTTGATCTACCTTCCCAATTTGTACATAAATACGCGTTCACATACTATATAGATGTATAAAAACTCATTCCAATCGTGTGTCGCAGTGACATGGAGCTCTTCCTACAGATCTACAACTTCACCCGATCAGTCGGCGCAAACGCTATCCACGCGGGTAGGTTTGGCAGCTAATGACTCCAAGTACAAACAGGTCATCACAACAGCAACAGAAGACGCGGTGGCTCGTGGGGAACTTGCGAGGATCTTCCTTCGGTGAAGGAGGGAGTTCAGGAGAGCCGCCTTGTGGACTCGGTGTAGTACCGAGTCTGGACACAAGGTGGCGGGCGCTGGGGAATCAATCAGGTTTCAGAAAAGCTCCGAGTGGAAAACCGGACGTAAACACAAGAATCTGGTCATGCTAGCCAAGGAAAATTAAACCTTCAAGAGAAGTAGGCGTTAAACATCGTAGCAGAGTGGAGATTTTGTAAAATTGTAAGCAGCTTGGTAACGATTTTTAAAAACATGTTTATTCCAGTGTACTCTAAGAGTACAGATACTGACTGGTAGCAGAAAGTGTGTAGGGTTTTTTTTTTCCCCCTCGCTCTTCTGCAACTGCTTTAGCTTAGTTTAGTTCTCTATAAACTGGCGATGGGCGCCTCAGGCCCCAGACTGGGCAGTGAATCCAGGGTTCTTGCAGTGGGCTTTTCTCCGGTCCTTTTTATTTTTATTTTGAGACAGCGTCTCACTAAATCATTAAGTTGCCCAGGCTCGAACTTGTGATCCTCCTGCCTCATCCTCCCTAACAGCTGGAATTATATGCCTCCAAGCAAGCTAACTGGGAATCTTTTTTTCTTTTTTAAGTTTCTTTTTTGTAGTGCTGGGATTACAGGTATGCACCACCCCCCAGCCTTCAATTGGCAAACTTCACCAAAAAAAAAAAAAAAAAAAAAAATACTTAAAAGAGCTACATAATATAAAAATTTAAAATCTGTATAAGAAAGAACAAACAAGTTCTGTGTCATGTCAATTTATTCAAAGTTTATCAGCATATTTTAATGATAATTCTGGTTAAGATTAAAATGATCATAAAAAGTTACAATCAAATGCTTACATGAGTAAGTTAATAATTAAACAGGGACCCCAGTGCCTTTTTTCTGAATGGAGGAGCGCGACGTCACCGGGGTGATGCGGCCTTACAGCGCCCTTTCCAGCCTGCACACACTCCCTCCTCGAAGTGCATATAAGAAAACCAGCCAGCGGCCCTGGCAGCCATTCGCAAGCCTGGCTACAGAGTTTGGTGAATTCGGAAGGCACCACGGACCCGTGGGCGAGCTGCTGTTCCTACCCCCGTCACAGCTGAGGAACGTGCCACAGAACCGTCGGGAGCTGGGGTGCTCAGGAGTTTCGAGGCAGCACAGCGGAGATCTGAGCTCCAAAAGCGGGCTTCGGAGTCCGGGCTCGAGGCAGTGCCGCCGGTTTCTCTTACACAGCACAGGAAGGCATTGGTAGGGGGATGAATCTGACGTCTACACCCGCGTTCTACTGTGTGAAGAGTCTGCAGGTACGTAGGAGGAGTTCTGTCTCCCTTTCCTTAAAGAGCTAAAAACAGTGTATCTCTCATGTTTCCTTCGTCTAGCGGAAGCCACCAGTTAAAACAGGAATAAGCAGGAAAATCTCCAGATGAAATTATTTTTGATAAATATATTTCAGGAAACAATAATTACACATTTGACTGAGTGTTGATGCCTTTAAATTGTCCCTGGTAAGCCAGAACCCGGTGACAGGAGGTTTTTCCCCAAGCTGCAAGCAGCACACACAAGCAGGTATGGAGTAGGGGGGTGGCAGCTTATTTGTCCCCGAGCGCTGCCCTGCCTTCTAGGTCACGTGGCACTAGGGATCCATTGTGAAGGACACAGCACAACACCAACGGAACAGCAAGAAAACCACACCTCGCATGTGGCGCTCCAACAACAGTGTCTGAGCCGCCCGGAAACAGTCCTGCACGGTCCCTCAGATGAATGGCTCATTTTTGAAACTCACAGAAACCTAGTTTGACTTTATTCTCACATTGCTGGGGGAACAAACAATTTGTACCCACTAGCCCAGAATCCCTTTGGTGCCTGCTCCTTCTGGTGGAGGAGGACGTGGGCCCACTGCCATCTTTTGGTCAGACTTCAGAGAAAGCGGTGCACAGCGCTCCGGCCAAGATGACGCCAAATGCAAGGATCAGCAGGAAGTAGTTTCGCAGACCCTGAAAAATAACAGTATAATAATAGTAGTAATAATACCAATAATAACAATGTTGTGATACAAAACCTAAACCAAATGCACAAGACACAGATTCACTCGAGATCGCTGGATTACCACGCGAGGTTTGGTACCCCACACCTGTACTGGCCCTCTGCTCCAGCCACCTGGGGTGCTTTATGGACGATGACACCTTCGTAGTAATTACCCACAATGTCTCCAAGCCCACCAGTGTTTTTGACTCCCCAGGGGGTGAAGGCAGGAGCACCAGCACCGTGAGATGCGGCTGACCACAGATGACACAGGAGGTAGCGACAAATCGGGCCATCGGAGAACAGCCTGGCACCAGGGGCGGTGCTAGACCATTTAATAATGTGCCGTGGCCCCCGATTTCACTGTCTGGAAAATGCACAGTTGAGCTTCTAGCTTCAACCATCAACCCCTTGCTGAGTGAAGTGAGTACCTGAGTAGATTCTAGGTAGGAGAAATTCCATGTGCAAAGCCCTGTTGGAAGAGAAAGATGTTTCCCAGGACAGAAAGGACAGGGCGACTGGAGCAGTAAGAGGCGAGGAGCGCAAGAGGGGTTGCACAGAGGCAGGCTTGGTAGCCTGTGCCTGCACCCCCAGCTACTCCAGGGCTGAGGTGGGAGAATCTGGAGTTCAAGGCCACCCTGGCAAGACCTCATCTTAAGGGGAGGTTGAGCTGGTGGGAGACACAGCTTGGTGGTCCTGTGACCCTAGGCTTAAGGGCTTAACCCAAACAAACAGAAAGAGAAGGCAGGGCCTGTGCGAGGGATGAGCTTGGCAGGCCTGGCTGTGCTTTGGGGTCCTATTTCTGCAAGCCATGGTAGAGTCACAAACAGTAGTGGCTCCCTCACTTGGGAAGATCAGGCTTGCATTCTGTGAGGCCTGCTCTCTTCTGCCGGATGGTGAGTGATTGGAGGAGCCAGTGGTCTGGACAGCTGCGTCAGAAGGGAAAGAAGAAACAGAAGCCAGGCGTTCTCAGCTGTGCAGGGGCTGGAAAACACTGAGTGTCCCTCCCAAGGCAGCCCAGCCCCTCTCTGGATTAGTAAAGAAACATCTTCCAGGGTTAGAAATATTTCACATCCCATGAAACCTAGCTGTAGAGGTTAAATCTATGTTTATACCTCTCTCACTAGATAAGCCCTCAAATATTGAGAAATGATCATCTTCTATCCCCAAGGGCATCCCTTTTCCTGGTCAATACCTCAGCTCCTGTGGTCATTTTTCATATGATGGCTCCAGGCCACCCCCCTGAGCCACTGCCAGTAGGTTTATGTCCCTGTTCAGGACAGAGAGACTCCTATCACCTGAGACCACGCCCATCTCTACAGGTAATCGATCCTGTTTTCCTTTGGGCTGTTCAAGGCTTAGATGAGTGGAGTCTGTCTGTTTACTAGTCCAATTATTTGCGACTTTTTTTTCACAAAATATAAAAAGCAATGACTTAATTCTAAGTGATATAGAATCACTCAGGGTGCCGGAGAAAATGGAGCTGAACAGGAAGGCGCAGCAAAGGGCCATGTGTTCTGCTGTACATCTGAGGTACTCAGAACCTCTCCCCACCTGGCCGGGGCCTCCCCTTGCCTGCCTCTGGGCAAAGATCAGGGGAGGCTCTAGCAGGGGAACAGAGTGGACTGGCCCTAGGAGCCAGTCTTGGTGCATCCCAGGAACACTTAGGGACACTACAGCCAGGCCTGGCAGCTTGGAAACCTTTCCACATCCTCATGGACAAGTGGCAGTGGGTGGGCAGATTTCCTGCCTTCCCTGCCCTTCACCCAGGTCCTCTTTGGAGCACACCCAGTGGGGAAGCTGTGGCTGACTGGCCAGGCAGATGTGTGGCGGGCTGTGGGGTGCAGCAGGGCTCTCACTGCAAGGCGAGGCTCTGTCTGGCCTCCCACGGCCCTCTTTCTCCCTCCCAGCTCCTTAGAGACTCTCTAGCTCCAGTTAAAGAATGGCAGAGATCAGAGGTAAATTGGCTTTGCTTGTAACTTAGACAGAGCAGAAACAATAGCCAGGATGTGGAGGGCTGCACCAATTGCTGAGGAAGCGGCTCTTTCTCTTACTGGCTCTTATTACAATGAATGTCAATTAAAATATAACCAAAAATGCCAAGAAATTGCATATAGTCCAGCTTCAACTTGATAAAGGGTCTTGTGAGATGGGATAAGTTGGCCTTGCTGGGACCACAGATGGCTTCCGAAAGTCAGGTTGCGGCCAGTGGAGTTGACAACGTCATGGTGAGCGTTGGCACCAGCCGATGTCCCGCGCATGGGAGGGCGCACACACACACACACACACACACACACACACACACACACATGCATGCTGCTGGGAGGCTCCTCTTAGATTCTACTCTCCATCCTTCGCCTAGGCACCAGTACTAGTATGGAATAAGCACTCTAATGAACATTTTCCCAAAAGACGAATACACTCAGGTGATTTCCAAATGTACTTCGTTAATTAGAAAGAGAATAAGAAAGCAATACAATTACATAAAGAACAGGGCAATTATAATCACCCTATACACTATGTAAATGCTTTGTTAAACTTATTATTAACTAAGTAGGCATAAGATTAATATGTGCAAGAATTTTTTTTAAACTCCCTTTTAAAGTTTTAAGAATCTGTCAAACTGTCCGGTATTCCCGAGAAAGACTGATTATATTTTGTTGGTAGCAATAATTTTTCCTTGACAAAGGTGAAAGTACACAGTCTGAAAGAACACAGTGACATCCTAGAAAAAAGTTTTAAATGTGGATTTATGAAGCAGTTTCTAAATAATAAATAATGTCACGTTTAAACCAACAGTAACTACTGAACACTAAATTATGGAAATAATTCATGGAGTTGGTGTTACTGTAGACATACTGATGAAAGTATGTTAGTAAAAATGTATTCTAGATCGAGCTTGTCAGGGCAATTCGCTGAAACAAATTTCTCCCAAAAGAACAAATATCAGATACGAAAGAACATCAGAAGCATCAAAATTTTCAGCAGGTGATCTTATAACTATGGCGAATCACTAAATGCTCAAACTAACAGCATTCAAGGCTCAGGACCAGGCCTGGCAGCTGAGATTATAGAGTTTTAAAGATGTAAAATTTGTAAATACATAATTGTGTACTTCTTTGTTATTTGTCTTAGATGTATGTAAATTTCATTACTGTTAATGTCATCTTTCCTATTTTAACTAGTTATTGATGAGATATCAGAAAGTTATTGATCTTCTGGTTCTATCTCAAACTTTATCAAGTATCCTTTTTGAATTTTTAAGATTTGGAGCTTATTCTCTCACAGTTAATATTAACTGCAAGTGATAACTTTTTGTTTTCTTCCCCATAGCTATAGCTTTGGCTTCTTAGTCACCTGAAAAAAAATTATATTGATGGAAAAACCTTTGACTTCTAGCTTACTGAGAACTTCTGTTTCTGCAAAGCTCTGTTGGCTGGTTTGTTCCTGAATTCAATACTGTTATACATGCACTGTGTGCTGTGAGTTACGTTGTGTGCTGCAGGATGACAAACAAGACGAAAGCTTTTGTTTTAGCCCAAGGTTTAAAATAAGCCCAAGACAAACGGAACTTGACACATACATACAACATGCAGTACAACTTAAGATGTAAATCAGTGACATAGTGACTTTAAAAGTCACTTTTTTATGGTTGGTGTGAATGAAGCAGCTTTCAAAAACTATCTTTAGTAGCTCAGCAGACTAAGTGTCTGCTTAGCCAAGAGCAGCGACCAGGGTTCAATCCCTGATAGCGCATGTCATGCTGGCCACTCTGGCCCTGCCCCCCGCCCCCCAGCCTGCTGAGCAGGCCACTGAGTCCAGGCCTGTAATCCCAGGTCTTGGGAGGCTCCCCAGTGCAGGGATTGGAGACCACACCTATAATTCCTGCACTAGGGAGGCTGAAAACAGTAGGATCACTACAAGTCCGACCTGCTTAGTGAGATCCTGTAGAAAAAAAGAGAGAGACAGAGACAGAGAGACAGAGAGGGAGAGAGAGAGAGAGAGAGAGAAAGAGAGAGAGAGAGAGAGAGAGAGAGAATCCAGCTTAAATAAATGGAAAATGTGCATGAAAGAAGATTTTGCATCTCTAAAATTTTAAGTTGTTCCTAAGTATTTAAAAAGTAAAAATTTGGGCAAGCCAAAAAACTCAACAGATTAAAGCTCCTGCAAGCAGGCACAGGGGCTGGGAGTTTCATCCCCAGCCTGCAGAGCTGGCCCCACCACCAGGGCTCACTGAGATGGCAACTGAGACTGGGTGTGGTGGTGCACGCCTGTAATCCCAGCTCTTGGGAAGCTGTAAACAAGCAGATCACTACAAATCTGATCTAGTAGTAAGACCCTGAACACCATGAAGACCCTTCCCTAAAATACAAAACTAAATAAATAAATAAAAAATAAAAATTCACTACATAGTTTAATATTTCTCAAAACTCATTTATTCTGAAAATCTTACTTGCAGTGTTAACTTGTGCTTGTTTAGTTCAAAAAATTTGAAATCCATGGTGTGCTTTAGCATTAAAATTGAATACATTTATTTATTTACACAGGTTTGCGCTGTGTAGTCCGGGCTGAACTCTCAACGATCCTCCCCAGTGCTGGAATTACAGGTGGTGTGCTACTGCACCCTGCTAACATTGCATGTGTTTTAAAAATCACCAGAGAATGCTCTGAGTTTGTGGTTCCCAGTGATTCCCGATGTCAGACCTTCTTGGGAGCATCATTATTTGTTATGATGTTGCCTAGTTAGAGAGAAAATACTATTTATAAAACCCAAACAGATGGTCTTTATTTTATACTGTCTTTAATAAAAACTATAAGCTTTTATTAACATATAATCTTCAACTAAGTAATTTTTCTGCAGGCTCAAAGGAAGCAGAAAAAGTTCTCAAATATTTCTAATAGCACGACTGCACTTACTGGAACTGTCTGGCAGCAATTTCTAATTCCATCATTACACTGGAAAAAGAGTGGCAGGTAGACCGGGTGTTTTCCTGTGAAGTTTTTAATTTGATGCAGGGGTTGGGAGTCGCTGGCTCTGATCAAAGACAGTGCCACAACTTCCACTTGTCTTGGGTTATTTTAAGCCTTGGGCTAAAACAAAACCTTTCATCCTAGTTAGCATCCTATTCCGTCACACAATGCAGAGCGCAACAGCACTCTTTCATAGTTTACTGGGCTACTTGCTTGTCTTTCTACTTGCCTGTGGGTAGGAAGAGCCCTCACATTTATGAGAATGACACCAGTCCTTTCTTTGCAGTTAGGCATTAGGACATTCTGGGTACTGAGCTGTCAAGGCCGCTCCTGCCGCCTGCCCTGGACTTAGGAATCACATGAAGTCCTCAGAAAATAACACAAACATACCTTTAAATCCCCTTCTCACCTGGATGCATTCCTAGTTTCTAAATTTGTCCTTTCTGATACATACCCGTATTTCTTTAAAAATGAAGACACCCCACAATGCAGCTATTAATCCTGGACCCTAAAATAAAAATAAAAAGTTATAGTAAATTGAACATTTTCTTACACTTATATATAAATATTTTCATGGAAAACTACCTACATATTCAACCCCAACTCTGCATTAAGTTAAATCTCAAGTAACATTGCATATAGTGTGAACATTTTTTTTTTCATTTTTTCTTTCTGGTTTTTATTGCTACTATTTCGCAGATGCTGCATAGTGTTTATGCTGTAGAATACTTTCTTGGAATGTGTGATTTTGTAATTTTAATATGCAGAAAGCTTCTGTTTGCTATTGATTTAATTTTTTAGAAGACTAGGTGGAATTATTAAGATGAAGCATATGGACAAACTTGTAACTGTTGTTAGCATTAGCTATTTTCATAGCTAAAGAAATTTAGCACATATTTGGGCCTGAAAAATAATGTGTAGCTGAAACATCACATATTTTTTAAAAAATTTAAGGGTAAAATTACAGTGCTACGTTTGTAATTTCAGTGCTACAAATGAACACAAATGAATGCAAAAAGGTAGTTATAAGATTAAAAAAGTAAGCAAAAAAACACAAAAGGAGTTACTGCACAGGTTATAAAGGGAAGAATGAAATGAAGTAGGACAAAGGAAAGGAAAAGATAAGAAGAAAAGAAATGATTCTGCAGTTTTTGAAAACTCCAATCTATTTGGCTTTGATGTTAATTTCTTTTAAACCCAGGAGGAAGAAAATGGGCTCGGGCCGGAGTGGCCTCCGTGGGGAACTACGCAGGCTGGGGTGGCCCTCGTGGGGAGCTGCACCCGCTGGGGTGGCCCCCGTGGACAGCTGCAGGGCTCTACCATCATTGACTGTCCCCCACCTCCTCCACACCCCGCGGGGCCTCTGCAGGAGGTTGTGTTTTGCTTCAGCCCAGCTCCGACCAGCCTAGGCGGCAGGGACTCCACACTTGGACTCCTCTCCAGGCATGGAAGTGAAGCGACCCAAATTCTTCACTATTTTCTCCAGCATCTGCAGACTCAACACTAAGGGGTCTGAGGAGGTGGTCAGAGGGACTGCTTATTGGGGCTGTGAAATCCTGAGCCTCAAAGTCCAAATCAAATGGGACGTGCCGGGTCCGCCAGGAAACCCCACGCTAACCTTGGCTAGAAGGAATCCTAAGAGGCCTGTAATGCCTGTGTGTGTAACCTCGCTCACCGAGAATGTCTACCCACTTTACTACAGCAACATCCTCTTGGCCTTTCAAGAACGAGGTAGAAGACAGACACCAGGTGCAGCTGCCAACGGATGCTGCCAGATGATTCGCATCTTTTTGAGACAGGGTCTCACCAGGGAGTCCAGACTGGCCTTAAGCTCATGACTCTCCTGCCCCAGCCTCCCAGAGTGCTGGGATGACAGGCATCTCATGTCACTCTGCTGGGTGCTGCCTGAGGCCTTCCGGAGCATTGGCTCAGACGTGGCCTGGAGCTGCTGCGAGCAGAGATGTGGGCCAAGGGTGACACAGGCACGTGCCAGCTTTCGGAGGACAGTGGGCCTCAAGGAACACACAGGGGGAGGGAGCACGTCTGCTGGGAGAGACACCACTGTCTTGGCAACCGGGATGCATCCTTTCCTAGGTGGGTACCAGCGACCTGTAGCCCAGCCTTGGCAAGCAAGGTAGGCTTGATCCTAGTTTAAGAAGTTGAACATTCTGGGCCAGCTGATGTGGCTTTCAAATTATCACAGGAGACCTGGAGCAGACGTGACAGGGCCTTGCCTCTGCTAGATGGGCTCTGCCCCCTCCTCTTCTCCCCCGCCCCCTTCCATCTCCTTTCCCTCCCTCCCTTCCACTTTTCCTCCTTCCCTTCTCCTACCTCTTTTCCTGCAGCCTTTCTTCTGCTCTCTCTCCCCCATCTCTCCCTCCTTCTTTCTTGCTTGCTTTTAAATCAAGTATTAACAGATTTGACCTGGGATGGGGGACCTGTCTGCATTGCAACAATCCTCAGAAAACAGGCATCAGGGGATTCACGCACTGAAAAGTTAAAGGTTGAACCCACTGTCAAGGGCTGATGGGAACTATGGGAAGAGGGGCCTACGTGGAGAAAGTAGGTCACCAGGGGAGGCCACGAAGGTATGTCTCACCACAGGCTGCTCTGCACTCCCTCCTTCCTCCTCCCCTTCTCCACCCCTTCCCCTCTCCCTCTCCCTTTCCCCATCCCTTACCCTCACTGCCATCAGGATTCTGCCTTGGAGTCAGTCGACCATGGACTGAAGCCTGAACCAGATGAATCCTCGCCTCCCTTACGTTTCCATTCTCGGGTATTCCATCATTGTAGTGGGGCACTGACTAATGCAATGGGCAAGACCTGCAAGGGTCCTGAAGATCAAACCCTGCCAAGCTCACCAGAAGGCAGTATACCTGCCCCAGAGCGCTTCGGGACACAGGGCCTGAGTGTGGCCACTCACGTCCAACTTTACATCTCACTCCCAAACAAGCAAGTTCCTCTTCGGTCTTTAGAGCCTCAGTAAGACTGCTTCAGAAAAGTGACATTCACATGTGCAAGGCACAAATTCAGAGAAACACCTTGGCACTTACAGCAGTGATGATTGGAAAGCTGACCACGGCACTGAGCGAGTGGTTGGCCAGGAACCAGCAGCAGGTGGCGATGGCCCACAGCACTCCGGACAGCAGCCCTGAAAGCAGACACACCCACGTGAGACCGAGCTCCAGTGAGGAGGGCCTACGTGTGCAGCGAAGGTGTACCTGTCCACGCCGCATGCCAGTATGGGTGTGTGTGTGTGTGTGTGTGTGTGTGTGTGTGTGTGTGTGTTGGAATCGAAGTCAAGGACCTTGCACTTGCCAGGCAGGCGCTGACCACTAAGATACATTACCCCTGGCCCTGAACATTTTTAGAGCTATGTTTTATGGTCACTTTCAAAAACCAAATAGTTTCTCTGCTCTCAGCCGTTGATGTTGTGGGTACAGCGATCAGTCCTGGCCCTTCTCTGACATTAAATTAGGACTCCCCAGCAGCTGCAGAGTGAAGGCCGGAGGGCGCAGTGGGGCCCAAGGGAGCCCTGTCTCCTCACACCTCGGCACACACCACCCTGCTAAGCATGGACACAGGACAAGGGGGTTCAGAATGGTGCAGGAACTGAGTGGCATTTAGGTGAAAATGTGAGCTCAATTTTCCACAACACTTGAGGGGCTTGGGAAAATATCCTACTGTTTTCTAGATGACAGCATGCTAACTTCAGTCATTCTGATTTTTAAAATGAATCTCTAAATTATGCTGTATTTTATTTTTATAAAATTTTACCTGTGGGCCTCTATTCAGAAGTTGAATTACAGCAAATCCCAAATGAGAAATTGCTGTATTATTTTACCTATTTTTATTAGGTTTAATGCCTCACGGGTTAGGACTAAAAGTACATGTTGTAGCCACTTTCCTCGAGCTCTACAACAACCTCTCCGTGCTTTGTCAGCAAACGTCCTCCAAGCAACTACAGATTCCTATCTTTTGACAATTTAGAAAAATTTTCTATAAAGTCAAGGAACTCTTATTGTTAATATGAATCCCTAGATGGCAAATAAGGAATAGCAAAGGCTGAGGATCGCTGCACAAGACGTGGAGTCACAACACAAAAATACCTTCGATGCACGATTCAGTGCATTTTAGAGCCACACTAGTGACCAGCATTTCACACTTTTTAAGTGCTCCATGTATGTTGATGAACTAGGCCAATGCCATTAAGAAAACGTGTACATACACACACACACACACACACACACGCACACACACGCACGCAATAGCTTGGTTCCCAGAAGACAATTCCTTCAAGCTAACTGCATAGAGAATGATATCTCCACATAGTAATGATATTTTTCTAGCAAATGCTCTTACCTGGTAAGACTGCCTCGGGGTAGAGTTTAGGTCTGTTTTTCATGGCTATGCAGTACACCACAAAGTAGACTGTGCTTGTAAGAAAGATGCCACTGAAGTGTGCAAAGACATAGTCTAAATCTGAAAATATAGATTGAAAAACCCTCAAACGTCTTTTCAATCTCTCATCCAAAGAAAAGAAACTCACAAAAAAATTAAATGTAAAAGTTAAAGAAACTTGAATCATCTTAGCTTTCCACATGCAATTTGCATGGAATTTGAATGTACAGATTCAAAACTTGGAAACATTAGGTACATGACTTACCACATGCAAATCTAGAAAGCCAGCTTTTGTGAGCTTCTTTAAAGAGTTAAATGAAAAGCCACCTGCACAACGCCTCTCTTTGGAGACATATGCTCAGACCTGCCTTTCTCAATGCCCATGGCAACGGCAGCAAATGTCCAGGTGGGCTGCAGTGGGGATAAATCCTGAAGGTAGCCATTTCACAGGACACAGAGACCCTTCTGGAAAGCAGCACCTCTGAGGTGGTGACAGTTACAGGGAAGGACCAGTCCAGAAGTTGTGATTCAGAGGGTTTGATTCAGGAATGATTCCAAACTCAGGTCTAGGAGGAGGAGAATCAACAGCCTGCAAAAGTGGCCCATCTCCAAGAAGCCCTATTTCCAGGGACACTTGGAGCAGGTGGTACTCTGGTCACATGGGTGGTCGCTGCGTGACAGCGGGGACCACATCAGACATGAAGCTTCTGTCAGTCAAGGTTTTGAGAGAAGTGAGCCGGCATGTTAACGAGTGAACACTTGAAGGCCAGGAGATCTGTATTCCTGTGAAACGTGAACTTTACTTCTGAGCCCTAGAGAAGCATCCTGTCCATCTACAGATGGCCACAAAGGACAGCAGAACGCAGGGATTAGCACAGACTTCCTGCTGCTGTCCTCTGTCTGCTTCTCACTCACTTTGGGGCAAAGTGCAGGATGTCCCCCAACTCACTTTGCTCACCTGGAAAGCAAGGATGACAAAGGCCCTGGTGGCTACAAGGGGTAACCAAGTTAGTGTTTCCGGAGTGCTTACAACCAGCTCAGGACATACATGTTTGTTAAAGAAGTAAAATAAAACCTAATGCTCTCTGGAATTATTCTTGAATATACTGGAATAAAGAGTGCTCCTGTCATGGGCTGGGGAGGTAGCTTGGTGGTCTAAGCCCCTGCCTGGCAAGTGCAAGGATGAGAGTTCGATCCCCGGTACCACATACCATGCCCCAGAACTCTGCCCATAATCCCAGTGCTGGGGAAGCTGAGACAGGAGGATCACTATGAATCCAAGCAGCTTAGTGAGACCCTGTACCAAATAAACAAAAGTCTTTTTTTTTAAGCTTAAAGAAAAATGAAAGAGAGCTCCTGTCGGATTACAATCAGAGCTGTGGTGAGAAATGCCCCTAAGAACTCATTGTTCTATTCCCCTAAAAGATCACTGAAGATCGTGCTTATCATAGCCCCGTACTGAGAGCAACTCTACTCCTGAGCAGTCAGTTGTGTGTACCTTGTATTTGGTGTATCCTGATTGTCTGTGTGGCTACAAAAACTTACAAGGCCCAAGTTCACAGTGCCTTTCCTTTTTTTAATTTTTATTTTGGAGAAGGGCCTACAGGGTGTTTAGAGTCTCACTACTAGATCGGACTCCTAGTGATCCACCTGTTTACAGCCTCCCAAGAGCTGGGATTACAGGCACATGCCACCACACGTCTCAATTGCTGTGTCAGTGTGCCCAGGGGGCAGGGCTGGGACAGCAGGCCCAGGGCTCGAACCCCCAACCCCTGTGCCTGCTTGCAGGTGCTTTATACTGCTGAGCTATTTGGCCGGCCCTCCACAGCACCTTTCAAGCAAGTGTGTTAAATCAGAGCTCTCAGACTCATCCCTGGCTCTCACTTTTCTCCCTTTACAAAAATTTTCCTATTTTTAGTAATTTTATTATTTAAAATAAAGGAATAAAATAAGAAAGAGCATTTTCATAAAATCTTAGAAGAAAGACAGCAGTGGACGCTGGTTTCCGGGCTGCACAGGACCACGAAAAGAAAGAGAGAGCCGGGCCCTGTGGCGTCACCTCCACGACATCTGCACTCCGAAAGCGGGTTCCACACCTCAGCCTCACCTTAATCATCAGTCTTTCCCTTACGGCTTCATCTCTGAATGTCCCCCTTACTGAACACGGGACATACTCATTTTCGGTACCCTCTGATCTAGAGGGTAATTCATTGGCAATTTCATTCTCTTATCCTGAGTGTAATCTATGATCAACGTAATCCCACGCCCCTCTGGCACGGCTTCTTTCATTTCGTTTGGAGCCTGGTCAGGACTGCAGCACATAGTGCTGAGTTTTCACCCTAGATGAATTTTCATCCCTGGAAACTGACATTATCAGGAAGCCCGAGAGTTTCAGTGCCACTTCATGCTTACGAAGTAACAGCCCCTCAGCAGGTAGGCTGCACTTCGACCTTCACTTCATCTGAAAACACGATGAATCATAAGTGAGGCAAGGATTAGAAAACATACTTTCGCAGAAACGATCTCATTGGAAAACAATCTTCATCCCTTACTGGGACTCTGGAAACCAGAGTGGCTAAGATCCCAATAGTTGACACGAATCCTCCCTGACTAATTCTATTTGTACGTTAAAGATCACGTAAAAATGCTTCATTACTTTCAGTCTTCACTGCCTTCCTCACGAACCACTTACAGATGTAAAAGATTAGATTTGCACATTGATACTCTGTCCTACCTCTTGACCCTCCTAGAAATGCAGATGTTGATAAGCTTGCTAATAAGGTGAAACAGCAGCTTGTGCTCACCGTACTGGCTTGCCCCTGCGTATGTGCTGTCATTTCTTCTGCTGTGGTCCTTGATGTACATGACGGGCACAAACGTAGAGCCGTAGAGCGTCCCCGACACCACCGCGAGGCTGCAGCCCCTTTGAGAACAAAAGCATACCACGGTGACCCTGAGCATTACGCAGCACTTCTGGTAACACACAAATAGAGTTCGCACTTCCCGGTAGGGCACACGTCAAGTTGGCAGGAAGTCGCCCACCTTTCTGCAGCTTCTTCGGGTCATGGAAAGATCCTGCCATGTCAAGTGACACTAGGACCAGCAAGGAGGCCTCTGTGCCCCGCCTGATTTTGGAAGTGGTGATTCGCCGAGGGTAGAGTGGATTCTCGCCAGCCATACCATTGGCAATTGGCAGAGCGTGGCTATGATCAGAGTGCTCAGTCTACATAAAAGGCTTGGTTCTCAGATTAAACTTGGAGTTATCTGTGAACCAAAAGGCTTCTTTTGAAAATGCAGTAAAATATCCAGCACACTAAGGAGAGTCTTATGAAGAGAAAACACTCTCTCAGGCTTTCAAAGAGAGCAAATTGGTCAAGTAATGGCCATGACTCATTCACATGGCTGACACTGACAAAGGAGCTACAAACTGGTACAGGATTTCAGGGTAAAACCTGAAGGGATTTAACTGACCTTGGCAGATACAAAAGTTACATTTCTTGTTATATAGGTCTTGTTTTATCTTGGCCTTGAAAATCCAGCAGAAAAGTATAAAAACAAGGTATAAAAAGTAAAGCCATATAATATGCTGAGCTGTAAAGGGCTCAAGTTGAGAAGTTTTGACATTGACAGTCCTATAGAAAGCCCACTAGTATTATGGACTACTGGACTATTTTGGATTATTTTGCTGAATTCATGCACCTACAATATTTAAATAGCAATAGAATACCTATCTCTGGCAAAAGTGAACAAAAAAGGAGGAAATAAATAAGGGACCATTTTGTATCTGTATATACAAAAGAGGCTCAATATACAGCTACTTTCTTTTAATTCAATGAGAAGAAAGATTTGTACTTATAGTATTTGGACAGGATATCATGACTGCATATTGTGCTATGAATAACCACTACAAAGACAATATGCAATGTACTAGTTATTGAAACTGTCCTACTAATCGGTTTTGAAACTGTCTCATTGCTATTTGTTTCTCAATAAAATTAATAAATAATAAAATAAAATATCCAGCACAGAAATAGGATTAAGTACTAAATTCATTTTTGTTCACAGTAACTATTCAGATCCACCAGCATGTGGGCATTTGTTGTCTGCCTTGGCTGAGGGAAGTGTGGATTTAATAAAATGATCTGCGTATTGCGCATACCAGTGCTGGAGCCTGGCCCCAGGGCTTCACACGTGTGGGACCTCTGCTCTGTGCCCAGCTCGGCATTTCTTTCTTTATAAGAAGGAAATGATTCATTTAAAGCCCTGGAGTCCAGCACAGTCCTCACCCTTGGGCTGCATGGAGTCAGTGTTTCTAGGGATTTCATGGAGAGCTGATCATTCCTCCCTCCAAGCTTACACAGAAATTCTTGTTGATTCAAATGCTTCTCATCTAAGAATTATAATTTTTAGTCATTTATTCACTCATTTATTTATATATTTGGTACACAGTCTCACTACAAAGCTCGGACTCACAGTGATCCTCCTGTCTCCGCTTCCCCCACTCTGGGATTATAGGCATGTGCCACCAAGCCTGGTTGCAGTGGCTGGCTTGGGGACTCGGGCTGGCACAGCATGCAGTACCGGGGATTGAACGTGGGTCCCTGGGTCCTTGTGCTTGCCTGGCAGGCACTTAGACTGCTGAGCTATCTCCCCTGCCACAAGAACTGTAATTTAATCAGTTACATCCAAGGACTGCCATACTCACAGGGTGGCCTTGGTAGGGTTTTCTGGCTCCCTGCAAAGTCCCCACTTTTGGGAGAAGGGTTTCCAAGTTTCCTCGCAACACACAGGTCAGGGCAGTTCAGTAAAAGACAGCAAAATATCCTTTACTTGACAAATACTTCATTAACAGAGGAGATATTTTGTGAAAAATGAAGTTTGGAACTATTTGGGAAAAATTTGCTTTGCTTGAAAGATTTGTTTAATTCTGAAGCAAAAACAGTAGTGCACTTATCTTCTCCAAAGCTTGCTTCTTTATTTATTTCTTGGGTGCCCCTTATTTTATTTATTTAAGTCAAATATTTATTGTGCTGCTCTTTGCCCACTGTGGAGGTAGTGGATCAGATTGCAGGAAGAAAAGCTTGAGGTTAGGGAGGTAGGCCGGTGGTAGAGCACATGCCTAGCAGGAGCCGCAGACTTGCATGGCTCCTCCTGCCTCAGCGTCCCCAGTGCTGGGATTACAGGTCTGCACCACCACACCCAGTTAAGACTAGGCTGAATTTTGTGTGCTGATGCCTTTTTTTGTTTTCAAGCCTGCAACCCTTTTTTATTCCCTTTGCAGTAGCCATGATAAAACATAGGGCCTCCCTGAGCTACACAGTGAGTTCAAGGCCAGCTGAACTACACAGTGAGACCCTGTCTTAAAAAAACAAAACACATAAAAATGGTCCTGAATGTAAAATGCAAGGTGCATACTATTAAATGTTTTAAAATTAATTTGGTAATCAAAAAATCTATACCCCAAAATAAAGGGGCTGATGCTCAGCCCGAGTCCATAGGACAGACCCTGAGTGGAGAAAGACGTGAGCGGCTCTTTCCTGTGACTGCTCAATGCCCGGCAGCCGCGTCCTCCCTGTGGCTGGGAATCCCCGAGGAATCACCTTACTGTGGTCACCTGTTCGCTCCTGATTCTGAGGTGGCTTCGTGTTCCTCGGATCTGCTGAGTTTAAAACCTCTCTCTCTACCCCAGAGCTGCCAGGGGGTGAAGGAAACCTCGCCCACGGAGCTACCAGCAGGGGCTCTAGCACCATCTTCTTCTGGAACTCAGATGAGGATCACCACACTCTAGTCAGCCCTGCTTTACCCAAAGCCAAAGCGCAGCTGAAGAGCAGAGGCCCCTCGGCTTACAGCAGGCGGCGGTGCGCTGCCGACAGTCTCTCCACCCAGGCGGGGCCGGCGCGGGCTTCCCCAGGTGCGTTGATCGCCTGCGGGAGCATCAACACAAACCAACACACAGCGCTGAGCGGGTGACTGCACCGGGGCTGGGGGGGTCTGGTGGCTCCCTTTCCTCTCCCCAACTCACTTTAAAATATGAACACATCCCCTGAGCACTGTGACACACTCCAGCTGCAGGGTTTCTGATTCTGTCTCGCTTCCCTAGGAACAGCCGGCAGTTGGCCAATTCTCCATTTATACTTTTCGCAGTTTAATGTGTGGCTATTTTGATAGCCCTATCAAAACACAAAAAAGTCACTAACTCTTGTGGCTCATTTTTGCATATCTCAATAGTCTCTAAAAGATTTATTTTTTGTGGCCAGCTCAGCTCGCCCTAGGGGCTGGGCTGGCGTGGCACGTGGGGCCAGGGTCAAATCGTGGTCCCTGAACTTGTCTAAGCTTGCCTAAGCAGGCACTTTAGTCCGCTGAGCTGTCTCACCAGTCCTCTAAAAGCTTTAGAGCTTAGGAAATCTCAGATTTTCCTAGCTTGCAATGCCAAAATCAATCTGCACGTTACAATGATTTTTACAAAACCAAATCAGTTAATGAAATGTTTCCAGCTTTGTTTTAAGACCAGTGTAATATTATACATCTGGAAAAGTATGAGCAAATTCATAATCTTTCTGGGATTGAACATAGCTATTTCCGCTGAAGGGCCTGATGTTAGGATGCCCCTTCCATTCTTGTAAGGGATGAAAAACTAGATCTGCATTCGCTGCTGTGCGCTAAGCCCAGTTGTTCTTTGCTAATAAGGCCTTCGTTCCTGGAAGGACCTCATGACGGAGGGCTGCATGCACGCAAATCCTGCGGCCCAGGCATCTTCAAAATTAGTTCCTTTGAAAGGAAAAACCGTACAAGAGAATTTGTTCTTTTTAAAAACTTTTTTTTTTTGAGACTGCTTGGCTGTGTAACTGCTTCGTGGCTATGTAATGGCCTCCTTGACGTCTGTGACCACAGATGCAGAGCTGCACGTGCGGGCTGCATGACTGTCCCGCAGTGCCAAGTGTCAGAGCCGGTGACCATTCATCTACCTGGTAACCGATGAGCTCACCCTGCCAGCTGACCAGACGAACGGCCGGCCGGGCCCTGTGGCTCGCCTTTGCGCCTCCTCTGCGCCTCCAGCTTGTGCGTCATAGAAGAGCCTCAACCCACCACGGATTGGGCCTGATGCTCTGGGAATGATCCCGGTCAGGGCCTGCTGACGTAACTAAACCTGCCTCCAAGCCCTGGCTGGCATCTTGGCATTCCTGCATGCTGCTACACCTTCATGTCCTTACACTTTGTTCATATTTTTCCATCTTACCTAGAAAAATTTGGTCAGCGACTGGGCACCCTTCCCCCAGCTGTACTCATGTTATTGCGTCATCTTGCTCCTTGGTACAAAGGACCATCTCCTACCTCCTGAGGGCTTCCCCCAGCTGGGGGCCTATGCACTCACCAACCTGTTCTCTTTGACCTTTAGGCAAATACCCATTCGGCTTTGGTGTCAGCAGAACAGAGGTTTTAGTCATGTCATTTGACAGAGGAGGAAGCAGAGAAGGCTAGCTGTGGAATAAGGAGAGGCAGCAGACACTCTTGGTGGCAGTGAGGTCAGAACTGTGACAGGTGGCCTCACCGGGTTCCAGGTGTATATGGCCACCGACACTTGTGCTATTGCAGGTCTCTCCCAGGTGGCTCCTAAGTGACTCAGACTTGCTAGCCCAACTGATTTACATCCTTCAAGGTCAAAACAGTGACCCTTCACCTACCCCTGTGCTTACCCGCTATGCAGAACAGGGTGGTGGCCCAAAGGAGAATAAAGAAGAAACTCACGGGTAATTCCTACTGTCCCTGGACCTCACACCCACTCGATGGATCTCTTGGTCTCTTCCTTCCCTCTGGTCTACCTCACAGTCATGTGCTCCTCCCTGAAGTGCTCATATTACTCTGCAGAATTCAGGGCTGCCCTACTGTATGAAACCACAAATCACCCAACAGGCGCAGTAGTACACATCCATCTCATTAGGGACCTACTTCCAATAAAAGTACACTCCTGTGTGGGTGACGGGCCAGGTTTCCTGTGGCGAAAATGGCTGTTATGTAGGCCTCAGTCATAATAAATACACTAAGATAGTTCATGTAGCCATGAGTGTCCAGAAAGGGCACCTCCTCTGGGCCTCAAATTTAAACATTTTCCTTTTACCTTCTTTTATTTTTAAAAGAATCAAGTTGTTCCTGATCACAATACTCACATGCTCCGCCATTAAGGGTGTAGTGTCCGTGGCACAAGTGTTACGTGGTATTTCACTTTTGATGAACAAAAATATGAAGGCACTGCAGAGAGAACACAGGGCAGCGCCTTTATCTCAGCCCCAATTAATCTTTACATGCCTGATGTTTAAGAAACAACACAGGTTAGTTGCTCTGGCCTAGTGAGCAGAGGGCCTCCGCACTCCACCGCCATGTGAGTGGGCCGCCTCCCTGAACTGTCCTTCCCTTTGATGTCCCTCCACATTTCTGGCATCTATGAGTTAAAAGCTAACCTCAAGCCTTCCCTCAAATCAGGTACCGTGAACCCCTGATGTCCACAGGTCTCATTCTTAGAGCATCCACCAATTGCGAAAAACCTCGAATTTCAGAAACTGTCAGAAGAATGCCTATAAAGGCCTATTTTCATAGTTTAAACCCTTCATATGCTACAGCCCGCACAATTATGTAATTTAATTTATTTTCATTTAATAAAATACTCTAGTCACAAAGCCGTACAAGATGTGGGGCACTGTGGCACATCTTAGGGCTCTACAAACAACTGAGACACTGGCCCTAGCCACATGTGCAGGGCAACCTGTTGCGGTGCAGGATGCCCTAGTATGTGCCAGACAAGGGTTACAGGGCAGCAGCCAATCAACAGCAAGGAGAACTAAGTAACGCTCTCGGACTGCCTACTGGAAAATCTCTCTCTGCCCCCCTCCAAATAATCGTTGTGCAGGATGTTTGAGGTTTCCCTGAGATTTCAGGGATTTCTGGGGAAAACTCGGCCAAGACCGAGGCCGCGCAGCCTGAACTGTGACTTTGGGGCACGCGCTGTGTTTCTCCCATTTCCTTATTTCAGTGAATAGCAGCTCCACGCTCATTCTTACCTCTTTGTAACTTAGAACGCTGTACAGGAAATGCCAGCAAGAACTACACTGAGGTGATAGTCCCCACTGATTACACTGCTGGGTCCCCACAGGTCAGCAGGGCCCTCAGCTGCACAAGTGAAGCACAGGTCAGTCATTCTCACATGATGCTGACACCAGGGTGGAAGTGTGCCGCTCCCACCGTGATGGGGGCTGCTTTCCGGAGCCCGGGTGTGGCCACTGCTGCTTGTGCAAGCTCTGCTCTGGGTCCTCTATCATTGGCGCAGCCACACTCAGGTGAGCGGGTGATACATGCAGTGGAATAATATGCAGCCATAGAAAATGAACGCGGATGCCCTCTGTGATCTGACACTAAGATCTCCAGGGTATGTTTTAAGAGGCAAACGTACATGCCCAACCCTACTGACAGTCTTCCTTTACCATCTCTCATAGCGCACTGTCTAACCAGGTCTGGTGTCTTTAGAGCAAATGCTTCACTTACTAGCGATTCGTGAACCATACACATATGTGAAAATGTATTAAAATATTAAACTAACCAAAGAATTTTGGACTATTTTGGATATTCCTTTAAATTACTTTTTAAGGGCCAGGAAGATGGCTCAGTAGAATAAGTGCTTCCCTTGCAAGCGCAAGGGCCTGAGTTCAACACCTGGTTCTGAAGAAGAAAAAAAAAACTTTTAAAATATATCTTCATTAATAAAATGTTAAAACAGTGGTCTGGGATGTAACTCAGTGACAGTATGTTCTCAGGACGCACGACAGCTGGTTGCATCCTTGTGCTACAAAAGAAGAAAATTTAAAATGAAAAACTTTCAGAGCATGTATTGGTTATTGCTGTCTTCTAAAAATTGAAGAAATAGGCTGCAAATAGCTCAGTGGATTAAAGCGCCTGCAAGCAGGCGCAGGGGCCTGGGGTTCGATCCCCAGCCTGCCCTGCCAGCCCCGCCCCCAGGGTGTGCTGGGATGGGTATGGAGACTAGACGGGGTGGCGCGTGCCTGTAATCCCAGCTCTTGGGAGGCTGTAAACAGGCAGATCACTATGAATCCGATCTAGTAGTGAGACCCTGAACACCCTGTAGACCCTTCCCTAAAATACAGAAAAATTAAAAATTAAAAAAATTGAAGAACTAAAGTAGGTGGACAAGCACAGAACTGGTGTATGTTCTATGCTCAAATATAAAATTTCTTAGGTAGCTCTTTAATTGTATCACTTGCTTTTAAAACTGGAGTGTTCCACATTCCTCCCATACAAAATGGGCCTTTCCTTTTTCATTCTCCGAGCTTTCCGCATTACCATCAGCCAGTTTATTTCAGTTCCACTGCACACCACCCAGCCTCAGTGTGATTCCCAGGTGGACACGGATTCCCGGCCCCTCCCTGGCCCATGCTCCTCCCTCCCCTCTTCCCAGCCTCTTGTGAGCATGCTTTCTTGCTTTTTAACTTTTTCTACCCAGACACACTGTGCCTGCTCCTCTTCCTGTATGAACTAAGGAAGCGCTGCCTGCGCATCCGTGTGAGGAGCGAAATGCCCACCCTCCCTCGGCTCAGAATTCCTACAGAGAAGAACCTCTATACTATCAAGACCACTTTCAAAAATTCCTTGGGATCTTTTTTCCTAAGGATTTTCCACATCAAAAGACAACAAGAACCACAGGGTGAGCCTCCAACTCACGAGTGTGCTGCACGCTTCATGAGCCTTCCTAAGCTGGCTTCCCCTTCCTAAGTCTAACAAAGTCAGCCTATGCAGCATATCTGTGAAAGTGTGCTGCTCAAGTATTCATAAGCTGGGGACTTTCTGTATCATGTGTCCTTCAGGGTCTTCAATAAAAGTAACACTCAGAGAATAAATGCACAAAATCTAATCATAGGTGTGCATACAAATGAATTAAACATGCATGTATGTGTATTTGTGATGCTGGACTTGCAAGGCTACTTCCAGACATTACAGTTGTATTTTCTCCTCCAAACTAACAAAGCCTTGAGCCTCCCACAGACCTGTGTATTTCTGAACAATGTAAAGTTATGCTAGAAATAATGGAAGACTACAGATGTCCTTGAAGTTTTCCTAAGCAACTCTGTGACACTCCAATGAAATATTTAACACTGCTGAGCGCTGCATTTTTCTTCTAAAAATCATCGAGATGTACGCCCCTCAGAGAGCTGGAAAGAAAATGAGGGGGCACTTTGTGCACAAGCTCAGCAGTCTCACCACATGCTAAAATCTGAAAACGTGTTGAGAGGGCCTAGCCGTCAAATGGGTGCTGAGCGTGAGGAAGTCATCTCGACTGACTGCCAGGGTGTTCTAGCCTGTGTGACAGGTGACAGGCCTGGGGACAGTCGGGAAGGAGCATCTTGGCTCTGTGGGGTTAAGAGGCAGGTGGGCAGCAATGACTGAAAATGCAAGTAAGAGAGTGCTGTCCATAGAAACTCCTAGATCTTCCCGTGCACTTGTCCACAGTTCAGAAATAAAGAAGAGTGAGTGCTGGAAGACAGGCTCTGAGAACGTCAGCAGAAGAAACGACGGGAGCTACGGAAGTTTAAAGGCTGCTCATTCTAAGGAGGGGCATTATACACATCATGGGATGGGAGATCTCACACTGTGACAGAGGTCACAACTGCTGAAGAAGGACCGAGGGAAGGGTTTCTGGTCTGAGGTGGCAAAAATCCTGGGTCACTGAGAGCACAGGTCAGGTGGAAAGGAGTCAGGCGGCACAAAGAGTGCTTGGAAAGGTGCGCCGCGGGTTACACAGGTGGGCTTACTCTGACCCAATGGCAAGCCACCTGGGTTTTAAAACAGGAAACTGAGGGGCCGGGGAGTTGACTCAGTAAGTTTAATCCCCAGTTCTGCCAAAAATAAAACAAATAATAAATAAGAAACTGACAGCAATCTGCTTTACAGCAGATCGGAACTACTTGTACTGGGAAGAGGAACAAATGAAATGAGGTGGCGAGAATAGAGTTTTGTAGCTGCACAGGCAGGTTCGATGGGAGGGCAGAGAGCAAGGCAAAGACCAGAGGAAGACACCATCCTTAAAATATGCAGAATAAACTTTATGGCTTAGGGGTAGAGCCAAAAAGGGAAAAATGAAAGCTGGCTGAGGCTTTTGATTTGAATGAGTGTGGCTGATGTCTTGGGTGGGAAGAGGGAACACGGAGCGGAACCGGGGAGCGCGGAAGAACCCAGGAGAGAAGCGATGTTGTATGCGAACGGCTGGGGGAGAAACAGAAGCCCTTGCGCTTGTGGAGCGTTTGCAAGTGTGCCTGTGAGGCCCTGTCTCTGGGTTGCCTCCCAGGACCGAGGAGGAGGAAGCTATGGCACCTGCAGAGCGACGCCCGGCCTGCTCCATCACTTGACGCAATCTGTGGACCTGCGGAAAGGTAAAGGCAGGAAACAGACCGAGTTTCCTCAGGCTGCACAGGAAGAGCTGAAGCTGGGGGAGTAAGCAGTGCTCCAGAGAAAGCAAACGGAACACTGCGGAGCCTCGGCTCGGGAGGATGACCTGAAGTGTACTGGCCTTACGATTTCACGCTGAGGATGGAACGCAGGACTCCACGTTCCAGGCAAGCGCCCCACCGCAGAGCTACATCCCCACCCACTGCTTTGAACTGAAGGAGACATCTGGCTGTCTGCACGCGCTCTGGCTCCTGGATTCTCAGTACAGCGCATGTTTCAGACCATGCCCTGGGTGTTGCTTCTCGGTATCAGCTTCATTCTGCCATGTTCTGGTCAATCTTCGTGTCACCTTGACTGCATTAAGAGGCTCCTGCAGGGGTGGGGGGCTGTGACGTCCTCCTTGGGTTCACAGCTGCGTGGGGCATGAGAGCTGGGAGGGGGGCTTGGTCTGGCCCCTTCTCCCTCCTTCCTGGCCCTTCCCTTGCTCTCCACTCTCTGCAGATGCCTCTACCTGAGGCGCTTCCCTCAGCTGCACCCGTCAGCCATGATGGGGCTACCCTGAAGCAAGCCTAGCATGAACAGAAGCCACTGAAGCTGAGAGCCAAGTTAGACCTCGCTTCCACTAAGTTGTGTCCAGCAGTGAGAAATTCCACTAATGTGATGATGTAGCCACAGGCGACCCATCATGCCTAAGAGCAAGCGGGGCAGGACCGTGTGGGCATTTTGAACCAGCAGTGGCAAAGCTGACCACCACACGCCTCTACACAGTTTCTCCTGAACTGCAACCTAGAAGACTGAAAACTGTGTTCACCGAGCTCCACTGGCAGTGAGGCTCTGCTGCATGGGGCTCTGCGCTAAAGACTGAAAGACTGAGGAGCCACTCTGGCTTGGCAGCAGCACCACTAGTTTGGGCAGCAGCACTCGCCCAGGACAAAGGCAATGACTCCCATGATGCAACTGGAATGTGGGTGTTGGGGCTCTGGGTGTTGCTCCATTGAGCCCACAATGCCCTGTGTTAATCCTCTGCTGTGTACAGTGCTGGGTGTGGCTTTCGCTGTATGGGCTGACTGATGTCTTGTATATCATGGAGCAAGAATGGCGTCATGTAGAAATTGTCTAACAAATTCTTTAAATATTGGGTTTATGGAAGGTCTAACAATGATAAAAGCAAAGCCTTGAAGCCCGGCAGCCACATCCCAAGTTTCTTTACACTGACCCTGATGCTGGGTCAATTGATTCCACTCAGAAAAATTAGAAATGAGTTACAGGAAAGAATTGACAGACAGCTGAGAGCCTTCCCAGGGGAGACTCGCAGATGGAAGTCCAGACGCCGCAGGAAGAGACTGTCACACCTCCCACCACCAACTCCAGATCCAGCAGCACAGGGCCGCAGACAAACTGGGCAGTGGAAAACAGCGGGGGAAGGCTCAGAGGGAGGGGCCCAGGTCCTGGTGCCCAGGAAGCCGGGTCAGAACTCCACCCCCTTCTTTCTCTCTCTCTTTTCTGGTCATGAGGCGATCAGCTTTTCTCTGTCCTGTGGTTCCCTCACCACAATCCCAGAGCAGAATTAAACAGTGATGAACGAAACCTCCCATCCAGGCACCAAAAAATCCCGTTCTCCTTAGAAGCTGGTGACCTCAGTTACTTGGTATAGTGACATAAAGTTATCTGACACTTTTATTAACAAAAATAATAACCACAGTGAAAACTGCCTGTGACATAGAACATAGAGTATGTGCCAAGCACCACATAAATCACTAATATTTGTTATTTTATTCATTCTTTAAAATGTTTTATACTTAGATAGTTTTCTTATTATTCTCCTCTTTACAGATGAGGAAGCCATAGGTTGAAGAAATAAATTGATCTGCTTAAGGTCACAAAGGAATAAGAGACAGAACATGAATAATTGATCTGTCACTTTACAGAATGTACTATTTCCAAAAGAAGATGAAATATGGAGAAAACAAGGCTTCAGGAACAGCAGGAACTGGCTTTAAATTACCATTAAGTCAAGCTCAGGCACGATACATTACAATGTTGGAAAGTGAAGAAATTGTTTTTAAGAGAGCTACACGAAGCCAGAATTCAATGCGAAATTGTCTAATATACATAAAATTGCCTCAAACCAAACTGTGTCAAGAATCCACTGTTTTAGAATAATCTATTATTTTTTTTTCCTCCAGCGGCTCTGGGAATGTTCTCTACCACAATATTTCATGACAAGGAGATTGTTCCTGAAAGCCACTGGGGAAAAGCCATCATTGCCAAGGAAGGGAATATACTGCTCCTTCGTGATGAATGGAAATGTACTAAGATCTTTCCAGGCAGGGCTGTTCACTGCAGAAGGCCCTGGCAGGGGATACCATGGAGTCCAGAGAAAACAGGGTTCTCAACTGAAGGTGATCTGGTCCTTTCATGGTTTTATTGACCCAACACCACCACAAAATCAGTTGTTTCAATTCTCACTCCCATGGTGGGGACAGCTGCCCATAGATACATTCAAAAACAGGAATTCAAAAGAGCTTGTGTCCAGCCGGCCAAATAGCTCCGTGGATTACAGTGCCTGCAAGGAGGCACAGGCGCAGCGGTTCGATCCCGGGGCCTGCCGTGCCAGCCCACCCCACCCCTGGGGCACGCTGAGACAGCGATTGAGACTAGGCCTGGTGGTGCGTGCCTGCAATCGCAGCCCTTGGGAGGCATAAACAGGCAGATCACTAGGAGTCAAATCTAGTAGTGAGAGCCTGAACACCCTGTAGACCCTGGCCGCATGTGAGGACCCCGCTGAGTCCCTGAGCTGTCCTCTTGCATTTCACTTCCGCTGTCATACTGCAGCAGTGCTGGGTTCAGGTGACCCTTATTCAAGCATTCGTGGCCCCAAAGGCAGCAGCGGTGAAGCTAGCAAATGTTCTGTCCCAAGAGGAGTGCTGAGGTGCTTCCCTTATGGTACAAGGTGGGCGCTCCAAGCCCAGAAGGCAAGAAAAGCAGCAGCACGCTGAATGTGCTCCGAGGTGTGGTCAGACTAAACCTCTGTCCACGGAACTGCGAAGAGGAGAAAGGCACCGTGTGCTAGTGTGATACTCACTGCAAGCAACAAGAGCGCAGCCACTGGGCTGCAGGGCTCAGCGAGGATGGAACAGGCCATCGACCGGTTATAAAGCTCAGTGACGACCCTGGAAGGTCTCCTTTTTGAATAAGGAACAGGAGAGGAAGGGCAGGAAGAATGGCTGTAACACAGGAAGAAAGAACAGAACAGAGGCTGCTCAGGGGCTGGCAGGGAGCCAGCACAGCACCGATTTGTGCGCTGTGCTGTAGTTCACAAAATACTTCAACACCTGCTCAAGCGAACTCAGAGCTAGAAGCGTGAGCGACAACATAATTGCAAAGGCGTGACTTTCAAAGCAGGTAGGTGATTTTTCCAGCATCTCTGGGCTCCTGGGAGCTGAAGCGGGGCCTCCTGTTCCAGACTTGGTATTTTGTCCTATAAGACTGGCCCATCCTTGTGAATTAAGAATTCAAGGAAAAATCAGACAGATATAAAATGCAAGTTTGGAAAAAAAAATATAAAGACCTAGGGATTTATTTAAAGAACTCTAAGTTTAGTTTAGAAGAGTAACTAAAAACATTAAAATGGTGACGTACCTTGTCACTGAGAGTCCAGCTCCGATGTAGTTCAGCACTGGCTTCGACACTTCCTCAGCGTGGATTCCAAACCAGCCAAACCTGGAAATTCAGTCCCATCAGATTCGATATTGCTAAAATGTAATATATAAGGCCATGGACCTGGGGCCCTATTTCCTGGTTCAAATCCTAGCTTTCACAGTTATTAACTGTAACCTTGAATAAGTCACGTAAATATGGAGCAAATTTCCATATTACAAATAGAGAAATAGCTGTACTTATTATAGAGGTTCTTATAGACATTAGGATGGTTACCATGTAGCAGAGTATTTAATTGCGTCTCTTTTCTATTAAGACTAAAGAAGGAGGAGGAAAAATATAGTTAAAATGGTGTCCAGAATACTAAATAATTGGCTACAACTTTATTTGTTTGTTTATTTATTTATCTATTTATTTGTTGCAGTTCTGGGGGTCAAATTCGGGGTCTCACACATGCTAAGCAAGTGCTGTGCTACTGAGCTATACACACTTGGTCGTTTGAAACATACCCTAAAAATTCCTTGGTTCAAATCCCTATTCTTCGGCACTGACTGAATTTGCTTTGTGCTTTGACACTGTCAGCATTACTACAAAGCGTCACCCAGAACCACCTTGGAGCTAGAAAATGGAAGGCAAGAAGCACGGGCAGACACCACTTGTGAAATTCAGGCTTGCCCACCAGGAGAGGAGAGGGAAAGCAGACAGAGCAGGTGAAGTCAATTCATTTCAGGGTCATGATGCTTTTAAGGCCAACGGTAGCCCCTGAAGCGGGGGGGGGGGGAACACTGTGGTGTCGACCTTCCTGCTGGCTGAGGGATCACAGCCCAAGAGCCCCATCCATGATGGCCAGGCTGTTCTAAATCTGTACCTATTATGGGGCACTGTCACGGATTAGATCTAAAATGCCTCCAGAACCTCACCAAGTGGGGCTTTTGGGAGTGGCTGAATCATAGGTGTGATCCCAGATCAGTCCACTGTTCAGTCTAGTATAGTTCTGGGTGTGCAAGATGGATTTACTAAAGGCAGAAGACCCACCCTGGGGATGGCCGACACCAACCAATAAGCACTTAGCCTGAACGGAATAAAATGGGAAAGGGTGGCTAACTCTCACGTCTGCTTTTTCCTGCCAGCCCTGACTATCTTTGGAGCCATCCAACTACGAACTGAAATCTTCCACCTGCGACCCAAAGGAATCCTCTCTTCCTGGGACTTGTGGATCTTGGGTATTGTGTCCAAGCAATGAGAAAGTAACTAGAACAGGCGGCCTCTACTTAGGTTCGGCTGCTTAGCATTCGGAATGTGGCAGGTACAACTGAGGATTCCACATTTCACGCTGTGATTTTTAATGAATTCAGTTTCAATATCAATGGCCACCTGTGGTTTGTGGTTACTCTAGTGGGTAGCATAATTCTAGCACTGGGGTTGGCAAACTTTATTTAAAAGGACTAGAGAGTATGTTAGGCTCTGTGAGCCTGACATTATCTTGCAATTACTCAGCTCTACCAGGATGGAAGAAAAGCAGCCGGGAGCTGGAGATGGCTCAGTAGAATAAGTGCTTCCCTGGCAAGCACAAGGATTTGAGTTTAATCGGCGGTTCCACCAAAAAAAAAGCAGCCATAGCCATTATCAAAGGATGAGTATAGCTGTGCTCTAACAAAACTCTACAAATGCAGTGAGGAGACTGGGGTACAGATGTTGAGCCTGCAAAAAGGGTCAATTATGTACTTTAGAACTGAAAATTGAGGGCTGGGGAGATAGCTCAGTGGATTAAGAGCCTGCCTGGCAAGCGCAAGGTCCTGAGTTCAATCCCTGGTTCTACCAAAAAAAAAAAAAAGAATTGAAAAGTGGGTTTGAATCCCAAATACCTACCTCCGAGAAACTTCTGAAACTGACCTCTGAGTACCAACTCCCTACAACAAGCACTTACTTGCATATATACATATAGTTGTGCAAATGAGATAAAAATAGTGTATAGAATGTGTCCCAAAAATACACAAGAGATGGGGAAAATCAGCATCACTTCCCATTTTCCTCCAGAGATGTTTCCTGGATATAATTCTCTAAATCAGTTTTTGTTTTGAGTTGATTTTTTCTCTTGCTATCTCTTGATAAAATACTTAGGGTACTTAGGAAGAGTTTAAGACAAAGAATAATACCACACTCTATATGTGCATTTTACCATTTTATGTGTGAGCTCAGAGAGATTAGGAGCTGCCTGTTATTCTTTGCAGCTAGCCCAACCCTCAGCACTTGTCACGCTTTAGTCATGAGAAATTTAGTTGAAAGGGTGACTGTGTTACCTTGAGCTTGCCCAGCCAGTTAGGGCATTAAAGGACCCCCAGATGAGGATTCCAAGGCCCAAACCAATGGTTTTGATGATCGGGACAACAGCGACATTCCCTGTAGATGGGATACATGGAAGAAACATTATGCCCAGTACAGAAAGTAGTATATTCTGAAACTAACTGAATCTCATGAGATTTGGACAAGTTTTGTGTAGGCCCTCTTTTTTAAAATAAAATAAGCATTTTTGGCATCAAAGTGATGATTAAGAATCCTAGTGAGATGTAGATGTCTATTGCAGGACTCTTCACAGAAGCTACGGATAATGAAATGAGAGTGACATGCCTTAGGTGCAAGCTGGTGCTCACAGCTGTCCCAGGCCTTTGGCTCCCATATGGCCCCAGTAGGGAGTGTGCTTCTCCACACTCACTAGTTTGTCTTTCAGATTTGCACAGTAATTACCATGTTTTCCTCAGTATCACTCAGGGACTAATCCCAAAGTTGTTATTATTGACATTCTTCTTGTTTTGAGGTGGGTGGTCCTCACTACACTGGCCAGGATGGCTACCTGCTGGGCTCAGGCCATCCTCCTGCCTCAGCTCCTGAGTAACCAGCTGGGAGTACAGGTTTGTGCCCTGAAGTCAGGCTCATTGTTACTTTTGTTTTATTTTTGTTGCTACTGTTATTGTTATTGTTATTGTTGTTGTTGTTGCTGCGGCTGCTGTTATTTTTCAGTTCCTAACTCCTGAGCAGTAGCCTGGTCTGTAATCCCATCTCGTGAGCTTTCTTTGAACTTGCAAAGCCACCGCCTCACTCCCCATCTCCCCTAGCTCTGGGCTGGCTGCTCCTCCTCATCCCACCTTCTAGACTTTCTAGTCTCCTAGGGAGCACCCCTGAAACACCTGCTCTGCGTGTTTGCTCACTCTTCTTTGGGAACTTGACCTAATTTCATCTATCACCCAGAGGAAGGGTCTCCCAGACCTGCAGCTCCTGCCCAAACCTCCTGGAGTTTCCGTGGCAGGTTGCGTGCTGCTGCCAGAGAACCGTGGGCAGATGTCTTGTATGAGGGGGACCTCCAGGGCCTTCAGATGCAGCCAGTCCCAGTGGAATTCTTCATCCCCCTTCTCAGCAGGTCTTTTCCTGAGTCCTCACCCCTGTCAACAACACCCTCCTTATCATCTCCAACAAAGTCCCTGCAATACTGGCACCTCCCCTTGCTCTACAACCTATAGCAACCAGAGAGGGACCATCCCTCGCATGGGGCTCTTCCCCTACTGGCTCCTGGCAGAACCTTCGGCCAGAGCTGGGTGTGCTGGTGCACGCCTATAATCTTAACACTCTGGAAGGTCAAGGCAGGTGAATCACAAGATTGAGCCCAATCTGGACAATTTATCAAATTTGCAAGTTGGTCTGAAAATTGAAAAAAAATTAGAAAGCATTTGGGGGTGTGGGCCTAGGATCAATCCCTACTACTGAAGAAGAAAACAAACACTGAAGAATGGGGATGAATGGGTCGGTTCTTTTCCTTTTGCATTATATTCGGTTCTGTTCCCATCAGGCGTGATAATTATGGATCAGAGGTGGTTATGAAGCATAAAGATGCAAATGCTAGAGTAATGTAAGAGTTCACTCTTTCAGCCACTAACTCATGAACCATTTAAATTCTCAAATTTTACCTTATTTTATTCCCTCAAATCAAGGGCTAAAATAGTAAATTCTTTTAGCGTCTTAAAAGTTATTTGTTTTTAACGAAACTATAAAAATCCTTGATTCCTTGTTAAAAAGAAAAAGCTCTTCAGGGGTGAATTTGTTTGACAACGGAAACCATTTGTTTGGTCAAGAAAATATATAAACTCTAGTCCTATAATTTCACGCCTATGAAAGCAATAGTGGAAAGATTTCTGTTTATTTTTCTACTATCAATACTTTTGAAATGATTTTATATTTGTGTCAATTACTTTTGAGTATATATCCTAAACATGTCAAGGATAGAGATTACTATTTAATAAACAGTACTTGCTGGGGAAATAAGGGCCAGAACATGTAAAATAGCACTCAGTTACACTTCAAAAGAAATGTTGAAATATTTTGACCATAGTAATTTTCTATCAGGAACTTAGAAATCATTAAAAGAAATAAACCAGAAAGTTACAAAAATAGGTGGGGTCTGCCCGGAAGAAATGAAATAATTCTATCATCTATGGCAAAGAAGTCTACAGAATCGATGACTGCTATTCCTTCGCATTGCGAATCAGAGTTATGCTGAGCTTACAGGAAATGAGTACTTAGAAAGTTAGACCACACCTTACCTGTTGCCCAAATGCAGCCTCCAAGCATTGCAAAAGGCCAAAACCTGGGGCAGTGGAGGATCAGGTTGACCACTAAAGCAACTATCCAAATGGCAGCACAAAGCACCCACTGGAGAAACATTCCTGCAGACAAGAGAACTCGTGTCAGGGTTCAAGTGGGTCTGAGTAAACCTGTGCTTAATACTGTGGTGGAAGGGTTACTGGGGAATGGCCACAGTTTATGCAAGCTTCACTCTAGGCCCTCTGTAAGCTTTCTCCTGAGAACTACTCTAGTAGTTAACCCTACCCCGAAGACACAGCAAATGAATCTGAGAGTCAGAAACTTGTCCTAATGACTATCACCCGGGGAACAATGGAGCTTAAGAGCAGAATACATTTACAGAGGGACAGCAAGCTTCTGCCCAAGAGACAGACAGAAGGGGACCGAGTGCGGTACCAAGGATCTGCCTTTTCTAGGGAATTTTACAGAGCAAAACCATGAGGTGAGGTAGGTGGGCCCAAGGTGGAAAACATGGGAACTGTGCAAGGTTGGCACGAGGTGGGACAAAACTGTGATTAACCAGTAAGATTACAAGCAGAATTACTAAGGTATGGTTGATTAAATTGGGAACAAATGGGGAAGTGAGTCACCTAGACAGTGGGCAAGAGTACAGAACAAGGTCTCTTCCTGCTGGGGGCTGGGTTAGTGACGCTTTTAGGCTCTTTCAAGTGGATTGATACCTATTTAGAATATCAATCCCTGATGCCCATCCTTAGGGAAGTATGTGGCTGCCTTTGTTTGCTTTTTAGTCTTGAGGTCCGGCCCACAGCAGGAGCGAGTGTCTGTGTCTCCACAGTTGCACTTATCTTGTCTTTCCTACTGTCTCCTTGAGGGCCAGCCCTGTCTGACTACCTGCATTTCTATGTAACTCGGTTGCCTATAACAACATCAGGGAAACTCAGATTTTTCTGTCCTTATTGGAAAAACCAAGTCTATAATTCTATTGAGATGTCACACTTGGTACACATACATGTGCATGTACGTGTACACACACACACACACACACACACACACACGTGAGAGGCATCAGGAACTCCACAATAACACAACAGTGACTAAAGCTTTTGCAGATCACTTACACCAGCTCTGCACGGCTGGATGCAAGCGTGGTCAGGGCCATGTGCAGGTCTCACACAGCGGCGTTGCCTGTCTGCAGCGAGCCACGCGCTCCACGACAGGGCTTCACTTTTCAAGCTCTGGTGGCTGCTCTTCACCAGCTGTCTGAGGAGCACTGGGGAGCTGAGAGGCATCTGTGTCTCTCCAAGGCTTCTGCACCAGGGAAGCCTTACAGATCACAGTGATAAAGTAGTTGACACTGAAAGAAACACCGAGGCAGCTACAAGTGGGAATATCACGTCTGACTCTACATTTGGGAGATTTTTATCTATTGTGACTTACTGTCATAGTAGAGAGGAAAAAAATTGGCTCCTAACCTCTTAAAAAAAAAAAAAAGAAAATTTTACATATGAAAATTTCATTTTACTGGCTGTCAGGGCAAGAGCTGATGAGATTTGCTTGGGACCATGGGTGGAGCTCAGTGGTAGGTATGCTATATCCCAGGACCTGGGTCTGAGGTCCAACAGAAGGAAAGAAAGGAAGGAGGGAGAGAGGGCAGGAGGGAGGGAGGAAGGGAGGGACAGAGGCAAACAAGGAAGAGGTTGGCTCATTCACAGCAGAAAGCTGAACGTAAAGACCTGAAAGCCACATCCTTTGTCACCTTTGTTGTTTCTGTAGTAGCTTTCTTTTCTGTCTCAAGTCCAAAGGAAAAGAGAAGGAAGCCTCCAGAAGAAAATGATTGGCAATTCAATTGTTTCAGCAGGAGGAAGACATTAGAAACAGAAAACCAACAGCAACAGGAGCTAAACTACCAATAGATATTTACCACTATAGCATCAGTTCCATCTGGCTGTGATATGGAGGACAGATGAATAAAATAACTTGTCTTTCTTAAGTCACCTCACAGTTTTGCTCTGCTGTACACACACATTCCTAAAAATCAACACACAATGCAAAACTAAGCAAAAATCCCCACAATGTCTGTGGGAAAGATGGGGTCTGAGAAATACCAAAATATTCATCAGTAATATATCTTTTAAGAAGTAGTAACCTAATAAAAATAATAAATAATAATGTAAATTTCTGAATGCTGTAGTAAATACAGTACTTTTGCTTGAAAGGCCTGTGGTTTGCTTCAGGACACAGGCACCAGGGTTGGGCTTATGGAGTTTTATGAAGTGGGTGGATTGAGTTTCTGAGAGCAGAGGTGGGCGTGTGAATGCATCGAATGTGTGATAAACTGAGGAAGAGGTTGTGTGTGTGTGTGTGTGTGTGTGCGCTCACGCACACGCGCACACACCATTAATGTGCAGTTTGGGCATTATTACACAACTTACTCTGTGGGCAGTATTCTGTGCCCATCTAGCATTTACTCAGGGACCCAACTTTACACATGCAAGCTCAGAATTTGGGTTTTTCTCCCATCACTCTACAAGGCATCAGTTGCTGTTTTCAAAAGAGTGTCATTTGCAGAACTGGCTGCAAGTTATTTCTTTTGCAAGCATAGCAGATGTAGAAATGAAGGCTTTCTGACATACCTCCGTGGCTTTCCCTCGAAGCATGGACTTCGAGATTGTCTCTGATGCCTGACTCCCACGTAGGCTTGCATGGGTCTTAGCAAATACTGATGTATGCTGAGCCCTATTCACTAGGCCCTGCTCATCAAAATTTATCTTTACACCCATCACTCTAAAAAAACAGAACACTCTTAGAATTGATTGTAGGTTGACCCACAAGGAAAAATAATTACCATCACCAGTATCATATTTTTTAAGTGGTGCAAAATTTGAGCCGAACAAAAGTATCGCGACGAAGGAGGAGATGTATCCGACTTCCAGGTCGGTTCCATTGTTGCTCATGGTTCCAGAGCTGTCTAAGAGACAGCAGGCTTCCTTCTGGCTTGGTGTGCTTTGCAAGAGCTTCTGAAACAAAAATGATACAATCTGAGAAACAGCGAATGTGTGAACAATTATGCTTAGTGCACAACGTTTATTAATCAAAAGCATACTAAGATGTCTCCTTGCAGATGGTCAGGCATCATGTGCTTATGTATTATGTTCATTTATTCTACCAACAGACTTTTAAAATCACTAACATGCAACTATAAAAACCAGCTTTTTCTTCAGAACTTGGAACTCTAACTTCTTCCAAGATCTGGATCCAATTTTTGTTACATTACAGGAAACTTCTCCAGTGGAAGTGGATGGGTTCAGTGAAAAGATTCTGGGGTTAGAATTCTGTTTATTTCCATTGTGTATTGTGATGATCAAATGCCAAAGCACTCCCTGTCTTTCAGAATTATTAAGTGCTTTACAAGCAAAAGCTTTTCTTGTGTTTCACAATTGAGCTTAAGCACATACACAGGTTGGGCTGGGGCTGCATCCTCAGCATCCCCTAGAGGTGAAAACACTTTCTTTTTTCTTTTCACCAGCAGGGCCTCCACAGTGGGTATGAAATAGTTCACAAATCTTGGCTAGGAGGGTAGCTTGGTGGCATGCACCAGGCCCTAGGCTTGATCCTCAGCACAGAGATAAATAGTTGCTCGCTTTTGGTCAGCAGACTGCGATGCTGTGTGCCAGGGGGACGGGAGGGAGGCGGCTTATTTTCTGTCTCTGCAGTGCAGCCAGGGAGCCTGAGGATGACTAAGTTGTCAGTAAAATTAACTAAGTCAAGTAAAAGAAAAAAGCTCAGGTTCTCAGTCGTCGTGCCTTCAGGTGCCCAGTAGCCGCGTGAGGCTGGGCGAGGACGGGGACACAGCGGAGTGCGGAGCTTCCCCATCCATGCAGCAGGTCCCGCCAGGCAGCACCGTAGCACTGACTGAAAAGTCCTAGTTCCTGTAGGAAGAAAAGGACCCAACCCCCAAATGACCATGAATTGGAGGTGTTAGTACGATAATATTTAGAAAAGTCCGGTGACTCGCGCTCACCTTTCTGGCTGCACAAGCCACAGCAGGAAAAAACACGTGCATGGATTAATTTTACCACAGTCATGCTGTAAGGCCATTTGGATTCCTGTTTTGCACACTGACCATTTGGGATAAGCTCTCTGGAATAGAACTCAGGACAATCCAGTCTTTTTCCGCCAAATTTATTATTTTTTTTTGTTTTAAAGAGAATAAATAAAATAATAAAAATGATACAGAATTTAAAAAAAAAAGATGGGAAGCTAACCATGGTTATTATATTACCTGCTGTTATCTTCAAAGTAGTTGCTCAGACTACCAGCTACGGGCATGCAAGACTGAGCAAACAATATAAGCACTACTATTCCTTGTAATGAACTAATAGAAATTAGTGCTGCTGTAGCCAGCGCAGTGAGATAGAAACAGGAGAGGCGGGCAGACAGGGCTAAGCAGACAGCACAGGAGACAAGACACCTCAGTGTTCCTGCTGTGGGCCAGAGCTAAAGACCACAGATCAAACAGATGCTGTCCTCACAAAAGCCAAGCAGCAAGGACTGATAATCACCCTGAGAAAGCCAGGCAGAGTCACTAAGGAGCCCCTACAGGGGAGGTCCCTCTTCTCTACTCATGCCCGCTTGCTTGCTACATGACTTGCTTCCCCATTTGGTTCTGGATTTAATGACGCTTACCTGAGCAGCAGTGCTTGTGGGCTGACTGGCTGATCAAGTTTTGTCCCACCTCATGCCAGTTCCCACGTTTCCACCTTAGACACACCTCACCACACTGTTTTGGTCTGCAAAAGTCCCTGGAAAAGGCAGACTCCTGGGAAACCCGCTCAGGTCCCCTTCTGTCCCTCTGTCAGACAGGAGCTCTTTCCCCCAATAAATATTCTGCTCTTAACCTCCGTTGTTCCTAAAATTCATTCTTCTGTTTTAGAGAACACAAACCTGGCCCACGTCTCTTTCAGGTTGGGGGTTTCATGTCCCTCTACGGTACCTTTATCTTCACTATTGTGAAAGAAAGAAACACCTCCAAATTTAATGATGTAGTTTTTTTTTAATGCCTGCTAAATAAACTTTATCTAAATCATCATTTTTGTTGTGCTCAATATTTAAACATTCAAGCATTATTCTGTACGTGTTCTTACAGTGCATATGTAATATGCAACTATCTACAAAACATCTTTTTTGAAATTATCTTGGACAATGTAACTGAAAACAGAAATAACTTCCAACTAGGACAATGAACTTCAGCAAGGTAAATATTATTTGATGCTATACATACTTAAAAACAGGTCTCAAAATGCACTGTGGGTAAGAAAACACCTTCCAAATGGATAGAGCTAAGGAAGAGGCACCAGGAGGCCCTGCATCACTGACAGAGCGACACTGCTCAGCGGAACCGTGACTTCTGTCACCGCGCTGTGCGCCCAGAACGCTTCAGCGCAGCAGAAGCCCTTGCTCAGAGGCTAAGAGCAAGGGTCAGGCAGATGGAGCTGCCAGGCTGAGCCATCAGAGATGCCGCAGGGCAAGCACCAAGAGACACCCAGAAACATAAGGGACGCCATCACCGGACACAACCCCATCAGCAGGCGTCAGCCAAGAAATCAAAAGTTTTCCCATTTTAATTAAAAATAAGGAAAAGCAAACCAAACCCGTGTAAGTCTATGGAAATGAAAGGAATGCCTGACCTTCAAAAGGTGAGAATGATTTTACCTCAGAGCCCCACAGAAGGCCTGCGTTCCGCTGGGTGGAAGCGAGCACGGCGGCGCAGGGCAGAGTCCAGGCGCTGCCACTTGAGCATGCGCAGGAGGGCAATCACCTGTGGACAGGGGTCTTCCTCAGGGGGCCAGGGGGCGCCCAAACAGTACGGGATCTGCTTTGAGGGTGTGTTGGCTTATAGCGACGCATCTAGGTTGCAGTCTACTTCTAAATAAATGAAACTTGTAGAAAAAGTGCTGTGTCACTTTAGTAATTTTCTTTTTGCATAGTTTAAAGCACAAACCTAGGTTTCAAACTATTTAAATTTCTTTACTATTTTTTAAAAATGTTTTTAAATTTCTTTTTCTATCTGGTACATAAAAACATTTAGCAATGCTACCAGTGGGGGTAAGAAAATGTTTTGAGAAATACATATATTGTGCCATGTTTAAATCAGGTTAAATATATGGACCTGCCAAAATATGTACCGTTTTTATGACAAAAACATTGAAAACTTGTTTCAAACTACTTTTGGGTAAAACCAAACATCCTCTTCGCCTGTACTTGAAGGGTCCACTGCAATTTTATTAAACTGCATTTTCCCCCCCTTGCTCCTGTCAGGGAAGCGCTTACTCTACTGAGCTATCTCCCTGGCCCCCTAAACTGCATTCTTTCGTTTTTAGTAAAGTTTTACTAGTTTTGCATCAGGTCTTAGCACATCTTTTTCCTGTTATTTAATTTTATTTATTTATTTACTTACTTATTTATTTATTTTTTGCGGAACCAGGCAT